AATATATCACTGAAAGAGTTAAGCTGATCCAAGTTGCAGGACTGCACCAAGATGCACGTGTAATGAATTTCACTGTCACTCCTGACATTGCATAACAGGAACAGACCACAGCGCTGAGTAGCAGCCAGTATAGCCACATCTGCTATACTGTGCGAGTAAAACAAGATGTGAATTTACATCATGGACTGCTCCTCAGTACCTGTCTGTGTGCATGTTCTTACTATAAGATAAAATTTATCTCTGTTTCAGCGATGATTCACCCTCCCTGGAGCATAATATACCTGGTATTTACCACAAAGAAGTAGCATGTAAATAAGCAGCTAGTGCAAAGTATCTGGCACTAACTAATAACCTGAGAAATGGGATTTTTCTGGTGAAAGAATTAGCATGTGTTTTGGTTCGTGACTGGTAGAAAGGTACCTATTCCCTTCCTTATAAGACTTCTTTACCAGAAATAATAAGCTATAATTTTGCATTTTGGGAAAAAAAAAAGAATATATGAGGAGGGTTATAATAGACTAATAGATGTCAATAAAATTCTGAGCAGGAAGGAAAAAGTTCATATGAACTGTTTTCTGTAGCTTCCACTATCAGGACAGGTGGGTATGCCATGAAACCACCAGATGGCAGGTTCAAAATGAACAAAACGACCTACTTCTTGCCCAAGTGTACGGTGGGACCCGAGGGGGCCTGAGGCCACAGTCTACTGTGGGTGCCAGCAGTTTCCAGCACTTCAGAGACTGACTGTGTAAATCCACGCGTGAAAGAGCTAAGAGTTAACCGGCACAAAGACCGCAGCCCTGGCTCAGGGAGTGTGTCATACACAAACCCCTGCAAAATGGATGAGAAATCTTGCAGCGTGTCAGTTTGAGCTTGCCATGGTCTTTTACTCCTCTTTGGCATCTATTGTTAGCCATGCCAGAAATGGTTGTTGTCAGCCAGTGTCAGAGAGGGCATTATGCCAAATGTCCCTCCAGTTCGACCTGCTATGGCTTTCCTTATGTTCATAACTAGGCTTCTGTGTGGCACCATTATATCAGTAGTACCATGTCTATACACGGAGAAGATAGGACTATGCCGTGCTGTTTTAACTGTTGATTTAATTTCTCTGTGTGGATGAGACTGTAAAAGGCATTCTAGTACTAGCACCCAGGAAGCTAACAGAACAGCAGGCTGGTTCAGCATTCCCTCCAGCCTAAGCTTTGAAAAACAGAAAAATAATAGGAAATATTTTTAAATACAACTTTTATGAGCAGAAATAAAAGTCTAATGCTTTAAGTCGATACGACAAAGAATAACTAACTCTCTTATGCAGCATTGGCATTCTGAGAGTTCAATGACTTGAGTGAAGAAATGCTTTGTTTAGCAGTTGCCAATGGGGGAAAACAGGAGGCATTCAGAGTTGTTAAAGGCAAGTTTTATGATTCTGTAGATACCAGATAAGTTAATTTAACTGGGACTTTGTTTCCTGTTGTCACAGTTGTGCCAGTAGAAAAATCATAGCAGTAATTTCTAAAGACTAACTGGAAAATGTACTTTTTTGCCAGACAGTATTAAAAGCTTGCTTACTGCAGGCCTCAGACTGGAAGAAACAAGAATGAAGCTGCTTGCGGACAGAGAAGAAGAAACCTTCCAGTCACTTTAATCAAAGAGCAACAAGGATGGTGGAAGGTATTATCTTTTGTCTGACAACTAAAAGGGCTCCTGTATCTTCATTGCATGCATAGGCTCACTTGACACAGACAGGAAAAGTGGGCCTCACAACAGATGAGATCTTAGCCATGTTTTTACTGTTAGATGCAGACTGGCTCGATCTGTCTACATGCTGCCCAGCAGGACATGTGCAGGCTATAGACAGGAAGCTGCTAAGACACATTAATAAATATCTAACATGGCCATGTTAGAAATCAGCTGGGAAAAGCCAGGGCAGTTCTCACTGAGCCCTAGAAACAGAAAAAAGCCTGGAATCCTTTCTTCCTCTTGACCAAGAATGACACAACACCAGGTCGCCCACTGCTGCCCACCACTGCCTGGCACCAAGGTATCTTGAGTCCTAATGACCAATCCACGGAGTCCTAAGGAGGAACTTAGCACCACTGGCTGCATTGAGATCTTCTCTGGTACCTCTCTCCCTCTCTGTTTTCAAGGCTTCTAGGCACCAAGTACCTGGGATGGGGTGACCCAGGAACAATTTATAATCGAGGGAAGGGAGGACCTTCCTGACCCTGGCCAATGTCAATGTTGCTCTGTCCCGCTTTGTACCACTGGACTGAGGGAATACAGTTCCACCTCTTTCACCCATGTACGTTGTAGAGACAAATGGTTGGACTGTTTTTGCCCTTGTCTTGCAGAGCTGCCAGAACAGAGGCCATGGAAGCAGCAGCGGTACAGAGGCAGGGAGTTCAAGTGTCTTGTGAGAATGAGATAAGAAAGGAAATGTCTGTGCCATGGCCTGTTCAGCTTTCCCTCAGTCTTTGCAGAGTCAACAGCTCTCTGAGGTGATGGGACTTTCGTCTATTTCGTCCTGGGCAACACCCACATGAGCTTACAGCATCCTTCCTATGACTCACCTGGCACTCCCCTCTTTCCAGGGGAGAAAGCAGGGAAGCAATAGGTCTGAATGCTGGAGTTGATGAGGACAAGGAAAAGAGGAAAGGGGAAGGTGGCATGTTCTCACCTCCCTAACTGAGTTACTCCTGGAGCTAATACAGTGATAAGGTTCTCAAACCTGAGTGTCCTTGTATCTCTCTCTGGTTCAGGGCACAGATAGACTCATAGTTTTCTGCATCTGACTGTAAACTAGGATACATAGAATGAGTTGCTGATGAGGTCAAGAGAAGCAGAGTAGTCGCTTCTGGGTACAAGGCATAGATGTTGACATGTATGTAGGGAGTTGTTTGTGTGCCACTCATTATCGTGGTTCAAAGAAACAGGAAATGTGCATGTTTGGTAAACAAGCTAAGTGCACTAAGAAAATACTTCTCTATATGCCATGAATTTTGACTCTCGGGGGAAACTAACTTCCTAAACATTGTCGTTCAGCAGAACCCTGAGGAACTATACTGTTTTTATTTGGTAAACATTCCCTTTCCTAACAAACAGTATTACCAGTTAGAAATGAAATGGCCAGGTATACTCTTTCTATGAAGTGAAAGCCTGCAGGCAGAATAGTTGACATTCAACTAAAACCCTATAATTCTGTGAGTGATGAAAAGAAAATGCACTCAACTGGCAGATGAAATGTACTGTTTTTGCTGTCTTCATGTAAAAGGTCAAGCAAAAAAAAAAAAAGGAGGTCAGAAATAAATCAGGAACAGTAAAAATAGTCTTTAAATACTGTGGTGTTAACACAGTGCTCTTCCGTTAGCCTGATCTTACTGCGCTGCTAAAAGAAAAAAACTCGGAGAATATGCCAGAGTATTGAAAGTGATACAATTGCATTTTAAAGGCCAAGGAAGCAGACTCTGTGGGTAAAGGGTTATGTCTTTTACCTCCCATCTCTCTACCAGTGACTGAAGGATCCCCTTTGTGAAAATAAAGGGTGCCATTTTAAAAGCACTAACCTTGCTTGAGTTATTTAAACGGTATCTCCGCATCGCTGAGGTATCTTTAGTTAGGTTTCTGTTTGTGCAATGTAATTAAACTACTGCGCTCCTAATGGCAAATTATCCAAATTAAATAGACTTGCATGGGTAAGGACTGTTAAACTGTTGAGTGGCTCATTGACCCCCTTCAGGTTTACTGATCTGACCCTCCCTTTATTATTCAGAAAATTCCCTCTGTGTCTCTCACTTATTTCATGGACTTTTTTTCTCTGGCATGTGAAGGGGACAATATTCTGACATGCTTGTAGCAGCCTTTGCTCCCTGCTTAGTAAGGTCCCCCTGCAATTGTGCATCTTCCAAAGAGACTGTGGTAAAACAGTGCTTCAATAGAGTCACTCCATTGAGTTTCCAGCTTTAGCTTGCAGAACAACCTTGCAGCCATCCTTTTGAGCAGGAAGCCCAGATCAGTCATATAGCATTTGATCCTCAGTTTTATATAATGGATTAAAGGCAGCTATGTTTTCCCTTGTATTAGACATCCTTAACTAGGGTAACTTTTCATGGCACCTTGCTTTTTTCTTTATTAACATAGAAGCAGTTTGCTTTTACAAATGCTTGTACACTGAATGCTCTGATATTTGGTATTGGTTTTCTTTTTGGAGGTATTGTGTGGAGAAAAATGACTTGGAGATGACACCAGTGCAAGGACAATCTATACCTTAGCCATGATTGGCAGCAATTAAGACAAATTAAGTGAGATGACCATGGATCTCCACTGACAATCCTACATTTTGAATAGCTTTCTTTTGCCTGCAGGTGATGTCTTGTGGATAAAACAGACTTTGCAATCTACTCTGCTCTTGTCATCTGTCTATTTGCATCTGGCTCTCCACATGATGCATTTCTGCTGGCACTCACATAGAGAGACTTGTCCTGGAGGCCTCCTTGTTGCTAGAGCTCCATACCCACCTTGACTTAATCTTTCACTTTTCTTGAATCCCTGACTTTTTAAATAAATTTCTCTGCTGGCAGATGAAAATGGAATTTTATCCTTCAGTTGTTGGGCATTTCCCTGGAGCTGACCAGCTGGCTGCATTTGCTTCTTCCTCTCTTCTCCCTCCTCCACCCCAAACAACTTTTTTCTTGATAATTGAGTATGCCTTCTAGTTTCCTGATCGCTCTCACTCTTTTCCCTGTGGAACAGGGAAAGTTCGTCCTACCCAGCTGCTGAGAGTAGGCAGGACATAGTTTTAAGTCCTACTCTGAAAAGCTCAATTACAGGAGTTTTTTTTCCCTCTCTCTCCTCCACCCTCAGACTCCACATCAAGCCAGAAGGGAAATGAATCCAGAAGTTCTTACAGAAAATTTGTAACTTTTTATCACTTCCTCACCACAACTGAGTTTCAAATCCTGTTCTTATCAAAATAGATGGAGTTTTTCCAAAAAAAAAGAGAGTCTTAGGTGAATATAGCATTAGAGTGAGAAACCTAAATGTAATATGAGCTGGAAATATATATGTTCTTAACTGTTTTCTTCCCAACTTCTTCTCAGAGAGTAAGTTCTCTTCCCCCACATATGAACATATGAAACTACCTGGATGGTTATTTTCCTGGAGAAAGTCTAGGCATTAGTGGAGTATCTACACTGCCCTTTAAATTTGTGTTTTACCAAGTCACCAAGGCAGACTGTGAGTAAGGCAAAGAAGGTGTGCTTTTACAACCCTGGATTCCTGCCAAACCATGTGGGTACAAGGCACGTCTGCACAGTTTCATGTAGAGAGGCCCAGAGCGGTCTCCATACTGGAGACAACCACCTAGTGCTGCTGTAGCTCTCTGCCCCTGCAGACAGGCTTAGCAGGGTGGCTTAGCCTAACAGCTTTCAGTGCTGGCATGGCGACACTGCCTCTGAGACATAAATTAAGGCTACTTTTGCATGCTTCAGGTATCAAAACTAGTCTGTCCAGAGCTGTCCTGGCTTCATGTACAGACATGTATTGTGGAGATATACCACAACCTCCCTTTGAAGTAATATCCCAGATGTCTTCAGACCTTGATAACTCACCAGAGTTGAGATCCATATTTCAAATAGCTATGACTCCTTTTTGGTACCTCCTTTAAAAATGCACAAAACACATGATGACAAGTTAAGCAGTTTGAACCACAGTGATGAGAAGACAGTAAATACTCTTAATAAGAAAAGAAGGTTTATTTCTTCTTTATGTTGAGCTGTCTAGCATTTTATGTCGGTGTAGCAAATTTAAAGACTCAGTTGGAAGACTACAAACTTCAACAGTAGAAAGATTTTTGACATGGAAATGTACCTAACTTTCCTCCCACAAAATAAACTCAAGAGCAATACCAATGTTGTTAGAGGTGTGTTGTTTGTTTGTTTTGTTCCCATATATAGAATCTTTTTCTATTCCATTCTTTGGGGTCACATTTTGCTTTACCTGTGAATATATGGACTGTCTGGAATACCAATGTAATTTATATATGGGACATGGTATTGGGATGTCCATGATTCAGAAGGCCCTGAGGGGCAGAGAAAAAACTCAAGTTCAGACTATCAGTGGTGTCTCAGTGTTCTTGGTCTGTTTTGGATACAGCTGAGCTTATTAACAGGCCACTCTCTCTCTCCTGAGTTCTGGTAGTTCATTACTATTTGGTCCCAAGTTCTCTCCCACTGCCCCCTCATATATTGCTGAAAAAGAGTGGTTACCACCCCTTCCAATATGCTAGCATAATTTTAAATACAGTTATTCCCTGATCTGATTCAGTTAAAATGATTCCTGGTAGCTTCAGTATCTATTAGCAGGGTTTTCCACCTAGACTATTCAGAGAAAAGTAGGTAAGGTGGGAAATGCATGTGGCATTTTGATAGCATATCTAAGTTCTCAATAATTTCTGAGAGTCAACTAACATATACATCTGTCAGTCATACCCTAGAATTTTGCACAGAATACTATTTCCTCATGGAAAGATGCTACTGTTCAAAGAAGAAAGAAAGCGGGCAATTTTGCAAAAATCAGAATGAAGAAAAACAAAACCTCTTTTCATATGTGCTGCAATGGATTTTTCTTACAAAAATTGCTACAGAGAGCTTGTGGTCTTTTTCGTTATTTATTTTACACTGAGGACAGACATTGCATAGACTATAAAAAGTAATTCTGAATACTTTTCATGCTCTAAAGCTTTACATAAGCCTCATCACCACTTTTTGTCATTTTCAAGGTAAACTAGTTCCCTGTAATAGGAGCAATGAAAGGATGGCATAAGAAGAGCTCCTCACCCCTCTAAAAAAGAGAAGGGGGAATTAAAATTATTTTCACATAACATTTGAGAGTTTGACTATCATTAAAGTGGGATAAATTACTCTTAACATACTCCACAGCCCTGAAGAATTACTTGTGTCCAGAGCCTAACCAGTTTAACTGTGGAAACTTGTTGATATGATTTAACACTCAAATGTAAACAAGCAGCTCTGGCTATGGGCATAGCCTATCCTAGGTGCTTGACCTGCTTGAATGCAGCACACGCTTGGGTTAACAGAGAACCCTTTCCATATTCCCAGCATATTCCCTTCCATATTCCCAGCAAAGCACGTCCTTAGAAAGGCTTGCCATCAGTACGATATATCCGAGAGGTCTTTCCAAGCCAGTGGTCAGCCCGAGGGGCCGGTTCTGTGCCCCAGGCCTGCATGCTCCTGGATACAGCCTCTAGCCTTGGGCTGCCTGTGGCCCATGTGCTCATGCTGCTGCCAGAAGGTTTTACAGTGTGTGCTCGGGGAATCTGGAGGCTGTTTTGGCAGGAGAAATAAGCTAATGCAAAACACAGTTGCTGTGCTTTCATGTGAGCTCCTGATGAGAGGCCGTGGCTCTGAAGAATATGTACAGCCTTGGGTTTGTTTACAAGGAGGAAAGAAGAGCTGCTGTGGGAAAGGGACACGTCACTGTTCCTACGGAGTTCTGTATGTTGTTTAGAGGATAGTGCCAAGCGGCTAGCACAAGCGCGCTAGTGGCAGTTCATCCCAGGAACTGCAAAGTCTCCTTTTGATCTTGTTCAAAACCTAAAAGGCGAAGAATTGTTTTAATTTGCAGTTCAGTTGCTGCTATTCAGCTGTTTGAACTTTTTTTCCCCTTACATTTGCTATTCTTAGCACAGGTAAGTTTTCAATCTAGAACACAATATTAGAAACATCACAAGCAGTATCAGTGTTTGAAGTCCAAGTCTGTATCTCTGTGTAGTTGTTTACCACTGCTCAAGCTCAGGAGAGTACAATCTGTAGGATGATCTATAGCCACCTATGCTGTCTCTGACTTCATCTTTTCTTAGAATGTTTGTAATTGCTATTCCAGATTCAAATCTAAAGATTTCTAATCTTGTTTCATAAGAACTTAGTACATCTTGTGAGTCCAGGAGTGTAAGAATTCCTGTCTTCTCTCTCAAAAATATTTTGTTGAATTATTTTACATTTTCATATTGGTTTTGTTCCCTGTAGGGATGTCCTGGACTCCTCTGTAGTAATTATTTTTGATGACTCCACTAACGCCTACTGCTGAAGGCAGAGATGATCTATTTCAGACTTCCCCTGTTGCATGAATTTAGCCAACAATCCACTCATGACTCTGGCAGATGTTTCTGCTTTCTTTCTTTCCTTCAGGCCAGTAAAAACTTTATAAATCTTCCTTCAACCATTCCAGAAATGCAAGAACTTTCCCCCCGACACCTAAAACATCTCTCTGACCTTGTCTGCATGAGACAGAACACATGTTCATAGATGCTGCAGATACCTGACAAACAAACACAAAACAATTTTTTTCCTTATAAATGATTGATCCAAACTAGACCACAAAACTGGATTTTCCATAGAGATACCTAATTCTGATCCTTGAACACCTACAATTAAAATAATAAACTGCTTTCTGTATCATAAGGGGTCCAAAAGTTTGTGTTGGTTTTCTCTACAGTTTATGTAACATGGTGCCTCTTGATCTTAGCATGTAGACCAACAGCCATGAAGTCAATGGAGTCTTTCTGTTAATGTCACTAGGCATTAGCCCAAGGTCTATGAAAAATACATGAGATTCTGCTCCAAAACAAGTCTGAGGCAACAATATATAAACAAATTCCCATTACAACTCTTTCTTTGTCTCTGTTTGAAGATGCTAACGCATTTCTTGGTCCTTTTTTCCATTGAAAAAAGTTTAAAAGTTCAAAGAAAATATTTCAGATTCCCCTTCCAAATGTTCATTAAGGCTGGTCCTGTTTGATAGGAGCTAGAAAGCATTCAGAACTGCTGATTATTTCCTGGGCAAAGGGAGGTGGACTGACTATTGGAGCCTGGCTCCCTTTGGACCAGTGGACACATTGTTTTTGGAACTAAGATTGGCTAAGAAGTCAAAGATTAATTTGGAATAGGGAGTTAATTATCATTTTGCTTTATAATTTACTAGAAATGCCACTATGTTGTAACCAGAGGCTGTTAGAAACTTTCATGAATATAAATAATTATGACATGATGAGATATGGCTGAAGAGGAATTTTTGAAATCTCTTTAATGAAAATAAATAAAATAGAGATTAGTATTCTAGGAAGAGGTATGTAAGCTCACCTATCTGAAAATAAACTCTGGCATAAATGTTTTTATCTCTTTTATTTTAATTTTTGATTGTGGGGTTGTTTTTTTCAGACCAGTAGCATGAGTCTTTATATCTCATTATCTCTGTGCTTGTCATAGCTTTATGACAGCCAATAAAAAAGCAATTCCCATCACAGTACTCCTTTCTTTCCCTGGTCTTCACGAAGCAGTGAGATAGTAATCTCTCCCTCATTAACACCAATATTCTTCTGCTCCTCAAGGAGGCTGTAGCCTCTGTATGTAGAAATTGCTATCTTTGACTAGGAGAAATATGGTTTTATTTCCCTGTCACCTTGGTATTTCACACCTACCTGGGTATTTTGTGCTTTCTTGGCATGTTCTACAGATAGTAAATCCCAAATGTTCACATAAATTACATGCCAAGGAAAGAGAAAATTAATATTAGTGATTCACAATATAGCCATACTAGTAAAGGAGAATGAAGATGAAAATGTATTCACTTTTTCTCCTTTTGCCTTCTTTCAGATAAGAGCTTTGGTGGATTTGCTGTAGGCTTTGCTGATAATTCATGGAGGCCAAAGCATTCTCTGAATGGAGATTTCTGGGTCTGACTTTTGGATTGACTGAGAACCCATAACTCAAGTCTTAATTTTCAATAAATACACAATATGCCTTCTCCTGACTATCAGGCCAAGTCAGAAGCTACTTCAGAAAGCAGTAATTATTATCTCAGCAATGATGGAAATAGTAGGAATTCAGAGGACAGTTAGAATAAGCACTGTTTGCTTCTAAAATAACAAAAGTTGGAAATAATCAAAACACAAAATATTTACCAACACGCAGAAAAGACTATTACTGAATGAAATAGCCCTGTGTGATTATTGCCCTTCAGCACCTCTTTTTTTAATTGCTGCGATTATTGTGTTTTAGACTAGTAATCTTCTGTCCAGCCTAAGAGATGGCAGCTGATCTCTCCTTGCTT